ATTAATTATTAAAAAATTAATTATTCTTGTAGATATAAAAATTCATAATTCAATTATATATATATATATTTATTTATTTATTTATTACTCTATCAGTGTATTTAAATTAAATCATTTATATAATTATAAAGTATTTATTATATTTTAAGAATGATATAGTAAATCTATAATGAATGTAAATAGAAAATATTTATTTTCTGTCCATAAAGATATTTAGAGTATATTTAGGAGGAAGTTTTTGGAGGAGAAGAGAGAATAGAACATATTTTTAATTTTATACTAAAATAATTGTATATTATTTATGATAACAAATATATCATTAATATATTAATTTTTTAATATATTAATTTATATCTTTTATTTTTAAAAATATTAATTTTAAATATATTTATTTAAAATATAAATTTATGTCATCTCCTTTAAAACTTTCTTTCTTACACAATTCCTTAAATTTTATTTATTTTAATTTTTATAAATTTAATTTTGAAAGAATTTATATTTTTAAAAATAAAATAAAAAATATTTTTAGTAATATTTTAAAAATAATAATACTAATTTTATTTAAATGATAAAATAAAATAATTTTAAAGTTGTAAATTCAATATATTTTTGTGGGTTTCAGGTCTAAAATAACTTTACGTTTTCTTTGAGGGGAAATGTTACTTAATCAGTATTGATCTTCATTCTTTATTGTGAAGTTAAAAAATTATTTGTGAGAAGGATTTTAATGAAATAAAATTGAAGGATAACTGTTTTATTTGAAAATTAATAAAAATATATACTGTTTATGATAATAAATAAATAATATATAATACTTGTATAAATTTATTGTTTTATATATTTAATTGTAAAAAAAATATTAAATTAAAATATATTTATTCAAAATAAAGATTTTCACCGTCATTTCTCTTTCCTTTTCAAAATTTCATTTCTAAACATTTTTTAATGAATAAAAAAATAATAAAAAAGTGAAAAAATTAATACACATGCCTTTATTTATTTATTTAAAATAATATTTATTATAATTAATGTGTGTTATTAATAATAAATAAATGCTGAAAAAGTAAGATGAGAGAGAAAATATTATAAAAAAGGAAGGTAAAGAAAAAATAATAGTCATTCCTTTAAAAAAAAAACTTTATTACAATTTTTCTTATCAATATTATAGTATATTTATTCATCCTATTTATATGTATATTCTTTTTTCAGCTTTTTACAATAGAGTGTTGTCTCTATAAACTAGGAGTTGTTTTTTATATTATTTTATCCGTGTTATTTTAAACAATAACAGTTTTTTTTATCCTCTTTTAATTAATACTCTTATTTTCAATAAATAAATTAAATGTGCATACTTAATTATTTTAAATTTTTTATAGAATATATTTTACCTAATACAGATCATAATAAATAATTAATATACAATTTTATTATATTTTAAACTATTGAACACATTCAAACACTCAAGCATATCCATTTAATTTTTTTATATATATCAACTATTTGATAAATTATCATACTAAATATTTCTAAATCACAACACGGGAATTAACTGATATAGAATTATTTTTTACCTTTTAAATAACTTTTCAACTCATTGTGCTAAACAAGTTATAGCAAAACTCTTGTTTAGTAAAAACAAATATTAAATATATTTTGTGTGTGTTGAAAAAATATATTATTTTTATTTAAATTTTATTCAAATTTTAATCTTCTAATTTAAAAATTTTTTTGAACTTTTATGTTAAATAAAATAATTATTATTATTATAACCTTTTATAATTTTGTTATAAATAACTATAAACACATAGATAAATACTGATTTAGAAACTCAGAGTAACGTATACAGTGAGAGGGTAGGTAATGAACCTTGACCAATTAATTATATGTATTAAAGACTGAGATTAAATTTTATTATTTAAAAAAATTATTAATTTATGTTATAATGTTGACCACATTTATGTAAGATTTAAAATTTTAGTCACACTCCTAGCTGGATATTAAAGATAATGTTTATGATAAATAATAATTAATTACTATTAATTAGGTGAACTACATTGAATAAGATTTTAACCTTCATTACATTAAAAAATGATGAACATTACATGCAATGGGTTATATTAACAATGGTATGCATGGATATTTGTTTGGATCAAACTATGGTTTTACTGTTTCTTTGCAAAAATGAGTGTTTCATTCAATTCCATAATAGCCAAGAAACGTTTTCTCTTTCTTCTATGGTGGCATCTTCTCAGTCTCCTCACTCTTCAATTTTGTTTTGTTATAAACTTCCAACTCATTTCCCGTTTCCTGTTTCCTGTGTTCTTTTGCGCAGCATTTAATAAGTATCCTTTAATATCTACAGTTAATTCAAATCACACTCATCTTATAAATATAAGGAATCAACAGCCAAAGAAATGTTTGATTAAAGAAAATAAATGTTAAGCAGTATTTTTAAAGTATTAGTTAAAAATTTAAAATTGGCATAAGGATGGGTTAATTGTTGTTGCAGTTAAAAAATTTAAATTAATTTTTTTATTAGAAAATGTAAAAAGATATTCACTTTTATGATTTTCAATTCATTCTAATAATATATATAATTTATTATTTATTAATTTATTAAATAATTTTAGTGCATAAATGATGTACATTTATGCACATCAATTTATTATTTATTATTTACCAATTTTAATATATCCTACATTTTTATTGGTCGCTTATACAAATGATGTACTCATACTCATGCAGTAATTTCTCTGCATTTGAGAATATACGTAAGAGTTTATATTAATAAATTTTTTACATTTTTTTTGGTAAATCACACGATAATTAAAGAAAAATTTAAAATATATCACTCTCATTTAAGAATTAAGACTCATAAATGATAAATAGAGATATTATTGACTGAAATTTTCAAAATATTAATTAAAAATTTAATAAATAATTTTTTATTAAGAATTACGTTAAAGTATATTAAATTTATGATAAAAATTTATTAATATTTTTATTTAATTTTTTATAATTTAATAAATATTTTTAGGGTGTTGAGTAACGTTTGTCAAATAATTTAATACTAAATTATTTTTAACTTATTTAATATTATTTTAATACAATAATATTAATATTATTTGTATAATAATATTAAATAAAACTTATTCAAATATTATTTTGAAATTTATTCAATAAATTTTATTATAAAATTTATAACTTAAAGACAAACCCAGTAAAAAATTATTAAATAAATATTTAACAATTAATTATTTTATTGAATCCCCCCTCAATAAATATACTTAATATTCAAAAATAAAAAAAATATCATCAGTCTCTCACACCTTAGAGATATGTTTGAGTTATTTCAATATTTTTTTAAAAGAATTAATCTATTATTTTTTTCTCTCTCTCATTAAGAACATTCATTGATTGACTTCATTACATTGTCTTCTCCCTCCAACTTTTTCATGCATAACGCACGTCAACCTCTCTCTCTCTCTCTCTTCATCTTAAACCAAACCAGCGTTTTTTTTGTTTGTTTTTGGTGCATTGGCCTATGCAACCTCGTTGTCTTCCTTAGGTGACTGAGTGTCACGTGTGATTGGTCATCTCAAGCCACGGTAGTGACAGAGGCAGTGCAAATGTTCTATATAAGGGCACTTCTAGCATTCACTTGACCCACCAATTTCTGATATTCAGTCACCATAGCTTTCAATTGCTATTGCTGAAGTTCTGTCTTTTCTGTGTGCAAACACAAACTCCCTCTTCCTCTGGTGATGCTTTTCTCCCTTTGCATGTCTTGTTTTCTCATCCCCAAATTGTTCAAAATCCAATTTTTCCATGTGGGTTTTGTTCAATTTTTGGTTTCGTGGTGAATGGCTTGCATTTGGTTCTTGAATGGTTCTTCGATTCTGAACCTTTGTCCAATTTTGTTAATTTTGCTCGTTTAATTTCCTTGTGAATGGCTTGTTTATATATTTATTTTGCATTTTCTCATTCTTAATTTTTTTGTCTATGAATTTGGTGCTAAAGTTTGTGCATGTGTGTGGAATGTTCTAGGGGTCTGAAGTCTGAATAGAAGATATGGGAAGTCTTCAAGTTGGTAATTTGATTGTGGGAACATCTGAGGCAAGAAGAAACAACCAACCTGTCCATGAACGTAGTGGAGATCGAAGTTCAAGGTTTTTTAGGAAACTCTTGTCTTTTATGGGTTGCTTTTCAGCGCGTTCCAAAGGTGATGGTGAAGGTATATATATTCTACCTTGTTCCACCATTCTTGTTGAAGTTTGTATCATTTCTAATTTCAATTAAATGATATGTCTTAATTAACGCTTTTATTGAATTGTTTCATTAATTTATAAACTTAATTATTATATAACACAAGTCAAAAGGTAGCAATCCCCATGTTTGTTCCCTTCCTTATCATAACATCAATTTCTTAATTAAATTCTTTTCTGGACCTGTCCTTCCCCTTCTCTTCACTCTACTTCTGATTTTTACTCTTCCTTTTTTATTTTGTTACCTTCTACCAAAATTAGTCAATTTCCTTTCCTATCATATCATCAATCTCCTCGATTCTTTTAATTAATAAATAAATATTACTAAAATCATTTAAGAAATTGCACCAGTATTTTGTCTTATTTAAATTTTATATTAATTTATTTTGTGGAGCCTGTTTAGGATTATATATTATGTGTGTGTTTAGTTTAACTTTATGAAAAAAAAAAACTTTTGCAAAATGAACAAGTATTTTTCTTTAAAAAAATTCATCCAAATATGCACTAAGTTGATGTTTCTTTTACTTAACTTATATATATAAAAAATAAATCTTTATATAAAAAATGATGATGTAACAATAAAAAAAAAAAAAGAAGAAAGAGAAATGTGTGTTTAATGTACATTTTATGTTGCTCATTAACTTTCATTTAATATGTGCTTTGTCTTTTTCCTGAAAATCAACAGGAAGTAGATCAACAAGAGGCAATGCTAGAAACCAATTGGTTGCCCTAGCATCCTCAACCAACAACTCAAGAAAAGCAAAATCTGCTCCAATCATGAGCGAGGAATTAATCATAGCTTCTTCCCTTGTTCGAAGGTTCACCTTTGATGATCTTAAGGTGGCAACAAGGAATTTTAAAGCTGAGAATTTTCTTGGTGAGGGTGGATTTGGAACTGTATTGAAAGGTTGGATCAGTCAGTTTGGGAACTATCCATCAAGGTCTGAAGGGGGACTTCCAGTTGCTGTCAAGTGCCTAAAGCCGAATGGATTTCAGGGTCACAGAGAATGGCTTGTATGTGTCCATGCTATATATATATTGTAGTTATTTATTTTCGTCCCTTTATTTTGACAAATTTATATTTATGATTTACGTCGCTTACTATATATCTTGTTATATTTATTGGGAAAAAAAAATCGCATCTCTTCACTGTTTCATGTATGGCAGGCTGAAATTTGTTATCTCAGTGAACTTCATCATCCCAATCTGGTCAAATTGATTGGCTTTTGCATGGAAGATGAGAAAAGGCTGCTTGTATACGAGTTCATGCCTAGAGGAAGCTTAGAAAACCATCTCTTCAAGAGTATGTTTTTCAACTTCTTGTTTATAGAAATTTGTGTCAATTAATACATTATTTAATACGTGTAGTTCTCATCTTTTATTTATTTATTTATTATGTGTAGAATTTCAATTTATTTAGCTTAACAACTTAGTTAATTATAATTGTATGCTAGAGATATATGGAATTAATTAATATGTAAAAATGTTATGTATTGGCAGGGTGTGTGCCACTTCCATGGCCCATTAGAGTTAAAATTGTGCTTGGTGCCGCAAAGGGCCTTGCTTTTTTGCATGAGGAAGCTGCAAGGCCATTGATTTTTCGAGACTTCAAAACATCTAATATCCTCTTGGATGCGGTAACAACTCGAATGTTGCATTGCATACTATATATGCTAGTTTTCAACTATACGTGCACACATACATATATATATATATACACACACACACCTACCTTTCCCTCCGTGTTAATATTATTTTATTTCAGAACTTCAATGCAAAACTTTCCGACTTTGGGCTGGCTAAAGATGCTCCAGTTGGAGATGCAAGCCATGTGTCAACAAGAGTTATGGGAACACAAGGTTACGCTGCTCCTGAGTATGTCATGACAGGTTAGTATAGTTGAATTATAGATTATATTCTCTAACATCTCATTTTATTGCAAGAGTGAAGAACTTTTACCATCTCATACTCAAACGTTATGTTTAATGATTCATTCTTCAAATTTATAGACTTATGCAGTACTTCATGAGTATGTACTTCATTTATTAAAATCATTACACAGGGCATGTATGATTATTTTTACTCAATTTTAAATTTCTTAAATAAAAAATTAAAATGATATATGCATGCTTTAATCTTCAATGTTGTATATATATAGTGCAAGTTTCTTCTCCATCGGTTTGGATCTTTGGAAGTGCTAAATGATGCATGTTGTTATTACAGGACACCTCACATCAAAGAGTGATGTGTATAGTTTCGGGGTGGTTCTACTTGAAATGTTGACTGGTAGAAGAGCTATAGATAAACGAAAGCCAAGAGGGCAGCAGAACTTGGTGGAATGGTTGCGTCCCCAACTTAGGAAGAAAGCAAGTTTGCACTATATGATGGATCCAAGACTTGAAGGTAATTTCTCATTAATTGGTGCTCATAGGGCAATGAAGTTGGCTACTCAATGCCTTCACCCTGATCCAAAAGCAAGACCCCTCATGAGTGAAGTGGTTCGTATGTTGAAGTCTTTGCCTCTTCGTGATGATGTAGCTTCTAGTTCCTCAACCTCTCTTAGGAAAATGCAGGGAGCACCCTCTAACAACCGTGCTAATCGATATGGTTTGAGGACTGGTTCATCGTCAAACGTGCCAAGGCGTTTTCAAGCCTCGCCATTGAGCCTTGACTACCCTCTTCCTTCACCAGCTCCTAATGGTGGAAAAGCTTGATGTGTGATGCATTTTGGTGTGTTTGGTTCAGTTTATTTTAAGGAAATAATCGTTTATTTTTAGTAGCTTTGCTCTAGAAAAATAAACAATTATTTTCTTTAAAAAAACTCTTCCAAACATACACTAAATTGTGTTCAGTTTATCTTATATTTTAGGGTAGGCTTTTAAAGCCAAAACTTATCTTTCTTTTCTTTTCGTAGATGGAGCCCTACACCTGTAGCTAGGGCTAGTTTCTTTAAGATTGAATAATGCTAACCTGTGGAGTTTCTCAGCTTGTTATATTTTTAATTTCCTATTATATGATACCCAAATTTGCAGTTTTAAATCTTGTCGGGTTTGTTAAGCCAATAACATGGTTTTTTTTTTTTTTTTTTTAAATTTTGGAATGCATTGAAACCACCATATGTTGTCAAGTGTTACATACCGTAGTATGTTGATTCTCAAAATAAAACTAAATTTGGGATAGCAATTCAAAGTATAAAAAGTTAACGTGTAACACCGATATAGGATTGAAATTTTACAATAAATACTTTCCTCTAAGGATGTAAGATTGTAGAATTCCAAAAATCTCTATAGTTAGATAGGATAAACATTTTAATTACATCTTTACTGTTTTATAATGCAAGACTTAGAATTGAAACCTAATGTACCAAAAGCAAAATCAATGTTAAGACATGTATGAGAGGTCTGATTTTTCAGCTTTCGAAAAAAGTAAATTTTTTTTATTAGAAATTTTATAAAAAGTAGAAGTTATTTTTTATTTAGTTACAATTATAAAAAAACAAATACTTCTTTTTTAATGGGTAGTTAAGATTTTAATTGTTTTTCTAAAAGTTATTCAAAATAACTTCTTAAAAAAGGTAGAATAAGATTATTTTTAACTTCAGAGTTATTCATAACTTAACCAAACAACCAAAAGAACCAAAAATTGATTTTTTTGGGGAAAAATGTGATTTTTAAAAATGTGATTTTTTAAAAAAATAATCTTAAACCAAAGAGGCCCAAGTCTTGAACCAGTTAATATTCCGAGTTTTGTTAATGTGCTCATCAATCCTACTTTCCCTGAGACATTTTGGCTATTTTCACTTTTGTTGATGTCATCAACACCGACAGAAGGGCCAGAATCTAATGTAGAATATTATTCCTTAACCTTCTCTCTTAAACTTTTCATTTGTTTATCACACAGAGTGGTTACTTACATTGTTCTAGTGAAGCAGCGAAGCCAAACAAACATGCTTTGAGAATAAAAGGAAACTAAAGCAGCTAGCATAACAAAACCACATTTGCAGCAAAATATCCACAGTTGGTGACAAGTAATGATTAATTGGAGGAACTACATTTTCAAATTTTGGAGAAAATTCTTGCAGCATGTTTGGTTTAAAAGAAGGAACTGTAAACACTTAGTTTACACTTCTCAATAGCACTTGAAAGAAGGATATATAGAGAGATTCTTCCATCCAACATGCATTGATGGTTCAATCATGATGGTTAAACTAAGAGGCTCTTGGTGTAATCATGATGGTAACCACTAGCACCTCCGATAATTGCTGAAGTGAAATCATGAGGGTATGATAAAATGAGTGCTACACCTTTCACATTGTTAACCCTCTTTGTCCAACCCAACTCATCATCTTCAATATCATTGTGTTGATTGAACAAAAAACATAAGCTTTTCTTTTCCATGTCTCTGGCAAGGTCATAATCTATTCTAGCATCATAGCTGCAAGGAGAACACAAGTTCACAAATTGAATTATTGAATCAAAATCACTATTTGAATACATTATCATTTGTTCATTTCTCAACTATAAATTCTTGAATCTCTATTCCTGTATGCCGAGCACCTCCTTGTACTCTCAACAGAATTTCATCTCCAACTTTGAGTGATGTCACAGGAACAGCTGTTTTTGGCGGTGTATTTCCTGAATAGGGCAATACACAACACTTCAGGAAACTCAACAAACTACCAGAAAATAGAAAAAATGACTGACCTACCTTGTGGAGGACAAACCAAAGCAACTGTTTCTGCATTTTGTAAAAGGATGCTGATAGTTTGATTATCTGATTCAATCTGAAATGACAATTATTATAACCAAATCAGATTTTAGAGGATAGGTATCAGCAAACAACAATAAAAGAATCTGAAATAATGATAGTTTAAGTTGTTCTCATGACACAATGAAATTTTTTGTTCTCCACTGTCACATAATGCTCAACCATAATTTGAAATGCTGCTGAAGACATTTGAATGACATTGCTAAATACTCATTCAAAAAAATAAGTTCACAACCAGCTATTCTATTCAATCAGTTATTGTGTATAACTGTTATCCTAATATAAATAAGCATTATCTGAAGTTTCCAAAACCCTCAAATCGCCTGTTTGCATGATACAGGTAATCAATTCCTGTCATAGGAGAAAATTGTTGATACCATTGAATGCATTTTGGTTTTCATGCATGACAAATTTTAACGGTTCATAAGTAATGAAAATTGATTCTCGGAAGCAAAACATGTATCTAAACAAGCTTATAATAAGTTTTGAACTTTTGTCTTCACTCTTAACTCTAATCTTAGACCATGTTGAAGTTTTATAACCATGAAGACAGAAGTCATGGAGAAAACTAATTTTAGTTCCAAAATAAAAATCTCTGACCAATTTAGTTATGTTTCATGTTCACATATATACACAATGGTTTTACTTTCAGCTTCTGAATTTTCATGGGGTAGATCTCGATCAGATATGAATGAATTATGGTTATTATACAAATTAAACATTTTCCAGAAGCTGGTTAGCATTAAAGGAAGCTTTCACATTTGAAATTCAATCTCAATGTACAATAATTAACGCTTTTTGGTATTTTTATTGATGGCATAAAGTGAGGAACTCATGGTAAGTCTATAGTATACATATATTTTCTTCAATGGTAGGAATAGCTTGTGTAAAACAATTATATTTGAAATGGAAGTTTATTTTCAAATCTATAAATCCAAAAGCAATCTTATTGTCAGAATAGTAGCAGTAGAAAAATGGTGCAACCTAAAACAGGTTACCTACAATTAAATGCTTTACATTATTAATATGATACCATGACTGAAATACTACATTATAGCACCTTGATTTCACCACAAGTGCTAACTAAGTAGAAATTTGGAAACTCTCAAAGCTAATTTAGAACTACTTAAAATAGACTGGTAATATAAACTCAGGTCTTTTTTAACTAGGTTTAACTCAAACATCAGTTAAAATTTGTTTCAAACCAGTTTTGATGTAATCTATTTTTAAATTCAATATACTTAGCATGTTTATTAATAATTGGTAAATGAGGGTGGTTTCTACAAGTATATCCAACCCAATAACCACCGTAAGATCTAGCTGAAGAGGAAGAGAGTGTATGGAAAAGGTTGGACTAGTAAAAGAACCAACTTCAGAATGGATTTTTTGAGAACCAGATTTATCTAAAAATTGGTTTCCTTAATAAGTTAATAACCATTGTCCATTGGTAAAAACTGACCCCACTGCACTTAAATATCTAGTTTATATAAGTTTCCAAACACCCCTTAAGAGAAGTTAGAATCTCACGGTATATTATCAACTGCTGACAACTTCACGAATATATTTATTAGATTAGCATGAAATTCCATAGCAAATGTACCACAGGAAAAAAATTAAAGAAATGAAGTTAGAAAACATAAAGAAACACTTTTTTTCAATCAAATTTGCTAATAATGCATGCACAAACCTTTGCCTCAACAAGGATTAGTGGTCTAGTTTCTATCTTTACACGCCCAACAACTACAATTCGTTGCTGTCCCAGCTGATCAACTACAATCACTTCTTTTCCTGAATTTAATTCTGACAGGTAGCATGTTCTGCCTCCTGGAACAGCAACATAGGCATGCACTGGTCCCTGTTGTGGTAATTAACTTGTTAAAAAGAATTCACACCATTTATATTGACAGCATAAATTAACATTTTGAACTGGAAGTTCCAAAACATTTTGAATGCAAAATGAACAAAAATAAAACCGTCAAACTTTTATCTTCAAGAAACTAACTAGGCTGAATTAAACTAACAAAATGAGACCTGTAAGATTAGAATAATTTCAGCTATCAGAAGACAAGTTCATGGTTCTAGCAATCTGCGCAGACACTACTACTTGAATATACTGTTATGCTAAAAGAGTGACCAAAGTCTGCTTTGAAAGGAAATAAATCCTGATTTATTGCAAAAAAAAGTTTCCCTATCAATAAAAATTCTATGCATGCAATTGCAATAACTACGTTTTCTAATGATTTACTTGCCATCAAATCTTTAAAATTACTTGACACTAAATTCATCAACTTTTATATTTAAGTGTAAAAGATAAAAATAAAAACTAGTGATCCACATTGGATGGTGAGAATAACAAACATCATTGCAGACCAAGCAGATTTTAACTGCTGGTCTCACACTGTCACCCCATTGTTGTGAATTTTGATGATAAGAGAGGTAATTTTATCCAAAGCCAAAGGCAATGAATATATTAATTTAAAACTCATGACTTGAATGCACAACTTACTGCATTCACTCGAAAAGGCCTGCTTGCAATGTAATTTGTCTCCAAGCATTCTGAGTGAATAAGAAATAAACCTTTGGCAAAAGATCCAACCTGTTGAAAATATTTGGCCCATAAGAATGGCAGCTTCACTAGAATAGGCAAGAAATAATTTAATCCTTGCAGAGGAAATGGATACGTACAAGAAGTCCTTCACCAGGTCTCATGAGACTGCAGAGATCTACACAAACGCGATCCCCCATTCCAGCCATCTGAATATGTGTCACAGTGGCTTTTGTCAACCTCAGTAGATTGCTTTCTTCCATTCTTCTGTCGAAGTATTCCTGAAAGTTTCCTACTGAAATAAGAGGTCAAGCCTCATTACTCAAGAAGCTTCAGATAGGGATAGAATACCTTTAGCTCAAGAACAGGTTCAACATCATCTACTTTCAAAACTATGCCATCTAAACCATGTTCAAGTGCCTATAAAATCCAAAGTTTGCTATCGTAAGGAGAGAGTTAGGGCTGACAGTAATAGCATAGTAATATTAGCCTTCATTAGTTTCAACTCTGAAAAGTTTACTTCATTAGCCTTCTAGTATATACCTCGAGAAATATCTGAGCCTCAGATGTATTATTAGAGATTGCTAAGACAGTCTTTTGGCTGTTTTGAAAAGCAGCAATTATATTTTCTGCAGGTATTACCTGAGCAATTGCAAACAAAGAAAATTAGTATTTGATGTGTCATAGAAAATGATATATGTCAATTACTGGGAACATTATTATTACACCTTTTAAAGACACTGGCTTTTGTTGAAGCAAATTGAAGCTAGACAAGATCAAGCCAGAAAAAGAAAGGGTTTTGAGGTGACACAAAATATAATGCTAACTGACAATGTCATTGAGTAAAAAAGGAGGTCACAGAATCACCACATGAACATAATTATATTTTGAAAAATATAGCACAAACGCATCCACAATCTTATGGTTGTTAGACACCAAGATAGATTAAATTCCATATAAAGGGTATGAGTTATAATAATAATAATGATTCCCATAAAATTAATTAAACAATCAAAGCATATTTGAAAGATCAATCAATCAACTAGCTGTAGTTACATAATACATTTCCAACAAGTTATTAATTCCAACTGATATTTCCTATTCCTAGCCTATATCTCACTTCTACAAAAACAAGAACCGGAAATAGAGCATAAACATGAGAAATCTCCTGGCTCTAAATATAAGCTTAAGTAGGACAACTCATTTCATATTAACCATACTTCATCAAGTACAAAAACAAGTTGACCTTGTTTCCTGCAGAGCAAATCAGTAAATAAACCATAGACAAAATAATCAATGGATGACAAGGATGCAAACTATTCCATCAGTCTGCAATGGCCATACCTGCCAATCTAGTAAATTAACTATAATGTTCTCTGCCTGCTCATCCTCCGGTCTAAGTCGCTCTAGTTCCTCTGGAGTTGAAACCTCAAAAATTGTGGCCACCCTCTTATTCTGTCCATCCAAAATCTCTCCCTCACTAATAAAAAGAGGGCATATTACTGCCATGGCTGTACCCCCATCAAGGCCAAAATTCCAAATTCATTAAATTAGACATGATAGTGGTATCCAGTTCACCAATAACTCAAAACTCTATTTTACTCATCACCAAAAGATATGTATATACAAAACAATTATGGTTATCTTATCTTATGGTGAACAGCATTTTATTGTTTTAATTGTTTCCTATACAAATTTCCGAAAACAGGAACCAAAACAAAAACAAGGAGGTGTTTTCATAATTAAAAGTGAAAACAGAAAATATTTTCTCAAACAAAATGAATCCTTAATTTTTATCCAATTCCAACGTCACCACAAAACATTTTCTACTATCACATATTAACAAATTATCCTAGAAGTTTGTCTATCAAAATAAAAATCTATCCTTTTTAACGATGTGCCAACACATTCGATCAAATGTAAACTTCAAAAGAAAAAACAACAAATGGGTAATAAAATTTTCTTCCAAATTGAAAAGTTAGAGTAAAACGGGACGTGGGGCGGACATACACGACCAATCATGAGCAATTTGTCGATTTTGTGGTGGGAAAATGAAGGTGTTCCATCCTCTTTCAACTGCTGCAGTCATGACCTGTTTGTTTTTGGTCCATATCCACACTCTTTTGGATCTTTTACCTGTGTCCTCCAACGATGTCCAAGAAGAAGCAGAAGGCATTGAGGAACAAGGGTTGTGCCGCAAAAGGGTATTCGTAAAATGAAGATTATTAAGGTTGGAGCATAGGTTTGGTCCACGAATGTTCTGTGTCAGTGAAGAGAATTGAAGGGAAGTGATTGAATGAGCGGAGAGAGACGAAGAGGATGAAGTTGAATTGAAGATAGGGAAGCAAAAACGAGACAACAGAAGCATCTTATGTTATTCTCTAGCAACTGCCACTAGTGACTCTGTCAGCAAACAACCTTTGCTCATTTGTCACTTATCATGTTACTCAATTTTATTTTTATTATTTTTTTTTATGAATTTCAGATAATTCTCTTTGAAATGCTTGACAAAGATCATTTAACATCCTTTCATGCTTAGGGTATAGTGGTATCACTGGTATAAAACTCAAAGTAGCATCAATCTCTAATTTCCTTTCTTTTATTTAGATTAATATTATTTTATAATTTTTATGATATTATTCATTATTTTTTATTTTTTTAATCCCTTCATTTTACGCTCGTTTTTTGGACGTAAAATAATTATAATTCTTCTTATTTTTGTTTCATTTATTTAAATATAAAATTAAATAAAATAAGAAATCTTATAAATGATATGATAAATAAAATAAAATAGATCTAAGAAGAATATATAATCAAACCGTTGAAAATTATAATTAACTGAAAAATTAATAATTACATTCATCAATCACTTTATTTTATATTTTTTATATTATTAACCTTATGAAAACTATCTCTTTCCCATTCTTATTATTTCAATGTTTATAGTGAGATATCTACACTTCTATAATTTTTGAAGTATTTCACGGGTAACCGTTAGGTGTTGTTGATGAATTTATTGACCACTGTTGTTACAAGATTAATTTAGTAACTTAAAACAACCATTTTAAAAAATCATTAAAAGTATACGAACTTAACAAAAGATTTGAAACCATTTTAAAAATTGATAGAACCATGTGAGATAAAATAATTTAACCAAAAGTGTAATATATACAAAGGTCTTGTAATTCAAAATTTCAAATTCAGTGATTAAATAGCAAAAAATACAGGGAGCCGCAATAAAGTTCAGAGGTAATCTTGAAACAAAGAACACAAGGTCTTATTATTCATTTTAGTGACCCAAGTTTGCAAGAAAACGAGTCATGCTACAGTGATAATGAACAAGAACATAAAAAAGTGGCTGAAAAGCGCACAGTTCTTATGACTCTGAAAAACCATATGGGACTTTGGTGGAAAACTTGAGTAACATAACATGCTTATAAGGCTTTTCAGAGGTCACAATAGTTGAGGGAAAATTAGGGTGATTCACAGAATCAGGGAATGCTTGACTCTCCAAACACAGTGCTGAACGTGGCTGATAAATAAACCCATCTTTCCCCTTCTCATTCTTCACAAAATTAGCAGAATAAAACTGCAAACCAGGAGCATTTGTAAAGAGCTTCATCACTCTCCCTGATTTCTTGTCCATCACTATAGCTGCCAACTTTATCTCTTTGCCTTTTGCCCCATCAAGCACATAATTGATGTCATAACCATTAGTCTTAGGTAATTGGTTGATCCTGGTTCCAACAATGTGTGGCTTAAGGAAATCATATGGGGTCCCTTTCACATAAGCAAATTTGCCAGTAGGAATGAGATGGTCATCAACGAGTGTGATTTTGGATCCAAAGATTTGAACAACCTCATCTAGAATGTTACCATTGTTGTGGTTTCCTAGGTTCCAATAAGCATGGTTAACTAGATTCACTGGGGTAGGCTTGTTTAGAGCCTTTGCTTTCATGATTATCCTCAAAGCATTTTTCTCAAGAATGTAGCTCACAGTTACTAGAAGGTCCCCAGGAAATCCTGAAACATAAGTATTCAATTATGAATAATTGTCGAGATATAAAGTCATACATTGGTTAGATAACAACACATGAAAAATATAAAATTAAGATAATTTTAGCTCTGAAATTGCCTAAAGTATTTTCAATAAAAATCACTCAAGCTTGTAGCTCATTCACTCTCCCTAACTCTTGAATTGGGCTCTATATAAAGATGAATATTACCTTCTTCACCATCAAAACTGTGATAACTGAAGGTGATACTTGGTTTGTCACCATATTTTATATACCTTACTACTTTCCAGAGAACAAAGCTGAATCCTTTTGGTCCACCTATAAACGCATTGAGAGTATGAGATAATTTTTCTATGAAGCTTTGTAAATTAAACCAAACATAGGAAAACAAATTTTAAAATTGTGATTTTGCAGTAGCATTGAAGCAACATGGATGCATAATTGTACTAAAAATTGTGTACCATGGAGCGTGTTGTTTCCTTCATTAGCAATTAGTTTGTAATGGATTCCATTTAGAGTAAACTGGGCTCCCCCAATTCTGTTAGCAACACGACCAACTGTAGCTCCAAAGTATGTTGAATCATTCTGCAAATATTTTGACATTGCAATAAAAAAAAGTATTATTATTTTTACATTATATATGAGAAACCAAGTGCAAAACAAAATGAACAGTACACTTGGAAACTGGAATGCAGTTTATGGCATTTTGCCTACATGTTCTTTTTGATGGAGTTAATTGTTGAATTTGTTAATTTATTTTCTTATTAATGAGTCCCCTTTTTTTACTTTTAGATTACTTAAATCTTGTCGATATTTTGAATAGATAAAAAGACATTAATAAAAGAATTGCAATTAATATTGTCTTAAACTTCTATTGAAATAATTAAATAAAAAAATATTTTCACAAATATTATATACCTATTCTCAAACATTTTTTGCATACTAAAATGTCACGCAAAGCTTCTCAATAGAATAAGATTTTCCCTTTCTGAAATATCCAATCCTATCCTTTCTTTTTTTAACAATTTTATTTCACACATTTTTTTTGTGGTATAGAAAAAAGAAAGAGAATTAACTCACAAAAAGTTTAGAAAATAATATTTTTGTTTTACTTTTTTCTATTAAAAATTTGAAAAGATACATAATTTGCTGAGTTATTTTAAATTCATTATTTATCAGGAATTATTAGCTGTGTATTATACTTTGACTACTCACATTTAAAAAACTTCTTGTCTAATAAAATATGCCAACATGTTGACTAAACATCAATGTTGAGCGTTGATCATTTGACTTTTTTTCTTTTTGGATTCAGATCAGATGCCAAAACTATATTTTTCACATGTATGAATAAATTAGAATTTTATTATTATTATAAACCCCAATGTTTTGGTACTTTGACTTTCTCCTCCACATTTTGGCTATATCTTTTTGTCTAAACCCCTAAAACTATAAGCACCTTTTATATTTATAATACAATAATCAGATTAACTGTTTGAATAATTTTTTTTACATATACAAAAAAGTTTGAATCTGAAATCATGTCATAGAAAAATCAGATTATCACCCAAACCAAACATTTTCACTATTAGATTTTGCATTTGAATTTTATAATTATTCATCAAACAACCAATAAACCTCCCCGCAAAACTGGTGACAGTCTTCAAAATAATTAAATTGACTACATCAAACAAATAAATATTTTTGCAAATAATACCAATCCTAGATAAGCGTTAAAATTAAGGATATAAGAATATAAAAAAGTTACTTCTTGAAAATTCTTATTATATAGAAAAAAATTCTGATAAAAACTTTACATTTATCTCCCTAAACTCAATTTTTAGAGCTAATAATGTTAACAGAACATTCCACAGATAAAATTATAAAACACATTAACGAATAAATTATTGTCGCAGGGCATTCCAGATGAAAAGGTAAGCAATAGCAGCTAGACAAAGCGACAAACTACACTCCCCAAAGTCAAACTCTTATGAATCACACGTTGTCTTAAACAAAACTATGCCATCATAGAGAAAAATATCATATGATATAGTGTGAATCAGTCCAAGTTGAAGAGCATGGTGTTAGAATTTTCTCAGTTTAAGTTTAATTTAGTTTCCTTCCTGATTGATCCTTGAATTTGATTATATAAAAAAAATTAAATAAATTATGTGATTTATTATAAGTTTAAGAAATACTATGTACATTAAATTAAAGTGTAAATAATAGATGTGTTGAATAATGGTGCACGTTTAAATAATTTAAAGTCCGTGATGGATGAAAATAGGATTATAATTTTTACAATGTCAACATCTCTTCTTTACTATTAACACGCTAACTATGTACTTTTTTTTTTTTTTTCACAAATGGCAATTGTAAGGGAAAAAAAGCAAAAAATAAAGATTTCATGCTTGGTATATATATTTATGTATATATGCTACTACAAATCTCTATACATGTAAAAGAAATAATTATAGTTGGTTTGAGTGGCAACCAGCTCGTATTATTTAAGTTTTTTTTTTGTGAGTTTTTGTATATACAAAAAACCTTTAATAATAAATTAATATAAAAATTTTTAGTCATAAACTCATCTACCATCCGGTTCAATCTGAATTAAACCAGATGTAAAAAAATAATTAAGTATAATTAACTTCATTAATATTCTAAATCTTAATATCTTACATATGATTGAGAAGCTTAATTCTTAGCTCTCAACTTTCAGAAGAAATGAAAGCAGTAGACAGAAATTAATTAGTTAATTATTATTTGTAAGCAGAATTAAAAATGTACACATCACAAGGAAATGCTATACATCACAATTAAGTACTAAACAGACTTACAGTGTATGTCTTGAGGGAATCATATCCAAGAACCACATCACCCAACTTTCCTGAATACAAAATTAAAAATAAAAAATATGCACAAAAAGGAAATTATAGCAATATTGGGAGAACAAGAAACAGATGCATATATAAAGGTACCATTCTTATCAGGAAGGATTACAGAGACAAGTGTTGCCCCCCAGTTGGTGACCTTTATAGAAAGGTCACCTTTCTTGAGCTCAAATAACTTGATATGGTCACTTTCTTGCTTAAAGGAGGCATTGACAAAGCCAGAAGCAGTTAAGGAGAGCAGGCACAGAAGCACAAAGATGTTGGTCATTATATGTATTTTTTGCTATAAAGCAAGCAATTATGGATACTGAGAATGCAGAGAGTGAAAGAAAACAAGAGAACTTTGAGGGATAAAGACAGTGGAAAAGTGTTGCTTGCAGTTTTAAGCGGTGGCTCTCTAATATATATATATTGGGCCAACCACGTTATGTGCGGCTCTTAGTTGTCATTCTGCTGTGCTCTTTCAATGTCAAGTGTCAGATAAAATATTCATGCACACTTTGAAGTTTTTATAAGATTAAAAAATTATTTTATACTCTGTACAAATAATCATACTTTATAATATTATGTAAAATATATATATATAATAAATTAATTTAAGAAAATATAAGATATCTTTATTGTTTATGGGTGCAATAATAAACATATTTATTTTATTAATTTATATTTAATTTAAGTATAATTATTATATTTTCTTTTCTTTAGTCTACTTATTAAATATATAAAGATGCTAAAATAAATTAGACAAAAATTAAAAAGGTATAGTTCTGAAAAAGGACGAAAGTGGTAGGGTGACAAAAATCTCCTCTTCTCCTAATTATTAAAAAGAAACAGAACAATTCTCCTCTTATTAATCAATACAAAAATCTTTTCATTTTTTTCATTAATATTTATCATATCATATATTAAAGACTTTTAAATTGTTTCAAACTGCTAAATCAATTAAAAAAAAATAAAAATTAATAAAACTATGTAACAGTGTGATTGAATTTTTTATTCTTATTATTAAAATTGAACTAAATCAAATTAAATTGCTGTTATAATATATTTATTTTTTATTATTTTTATATGAATTTTATTTTTTAATTATTTTATCATAACGCTTTATAATATATAATGACGTTAATACAATTTTGGTTGACAAGTTATTAGATAGTTTTTTTTATTAAGAGTTAGTTGTTGAAATGTTAAAATTTAACACGTTAACATTTCTTTTAAGTGTTGAGAGTTAGTTTAATACTCTCACTTTATATTATTTAATTTTTAAAATATTTTAAATATAATTATATTTTATTCTCTACAAATATAACATAATTTATGATAAATTTTAGTTTTTGAAGTAAGAAATTAAAAGTTATTATTAAAAAAATTATAAATTTATCACAAAATATATTTGAAAATTTCATTTTTAACCAAATATTAATTTTTATTTCTATATTTTTTAATCAATGTTTTCTTTATTTTGCATTTATTTTTTAACAAACTCATTAATTTTTAGGCTACTATTTAATCTAAGTTTAAAATTAAATTAACTATCATATAATAATAAAAAATTGAAAATAATAAATAATAAAAGAATTATTTAAACCGACTGCAAATTTTTAATTTTTTTATTCAATTTTTTTTATATGTAAACTAAATTAAACTGTAAGTTATTGTTATGTTCAGACATTTTGAAAAATGACCTGAACATAAGCATGTACAACATATTATTCTAACCTAATTAATGATTTTGACATTTATAATAGTTTTACTTTATTTAAACAAAACTATCTTTTATAAAAATTACCTTGATTCAAAAAATATATAATATACTAATCCAAAATTATGCAGTGTGTTTTAAGAAAAATAGTATAAATATTATAAATTAAAACTACTAATATGATTACTGATATAATATATCAATGAAATCATTTGTTACTCAACTTAATTTTTTTTTATCTAAATGTAACGTTTTAATAGTACATAAATGATGATAGTCTTTATTATTCTTATAAGCATTTTAATTTTTTTTATTTCTTTCATTTCTTTTACTTATTTATTTAAAAAACAAAGCTAATATAAATTGTTGTCTTTGAAAACTTTTTTATTTAATTTTTAAAGTTTTGAATACTTATATATGAATGAAAAAGAAATAATAGTAAAATTTATATTAAGAATTAAAGCGCGTATATATTTTAGTATTATTTTTTAATTAAAATTTTATTTTGGTAACTTACATCGATCTTATACATTAACTTTTATTAAGTAATTCATCAAGATAAAATTTTATATTTATAAAAAGGAAACATATTATTTTCATCGTCAATATCAACTCTTAGCACTAATTATAAAGGTAATAATTTCTTATTAAAAAATAATTATTTATTATACTTCATATTTTTTTTATATTATACTTACTTTTTTAAAAGGCTTTTAAAAAATTTTAAAGACTAACATTAATAGTTTCCTAAAAACATTAATAATTATAGATTTAGAAGATTTTTTAAATGACCCTAAACCTAACTTTCAACTAAATATATTTTTAAAAAATTAACTTAACATATTTAATAAATAACTCTAATGTGATCTCTTTAACAGAAAAAAAATAAGTCTGATGTAATCTAGACGCAATATAAGTTAAATTGTAATCCTCAAGAAAACTTTACACTTAAACCTCTAAAAATAAAAGTATATCTAAATAAGTCTTTAAAATATTTAGATCATAAAGTGATTCTTATTTAAATTATTATTGGATTGAATTTTCAGAATTATTATTATTATTATTATTGCTTTAATTTTCGGTAAAGGTTTATAATACAAAATTTTATTTTTTTAAAAGAAATTTATCATTAAGTTGCATATCTGTTTTATCACTTCAATCCTTTTTAAAAACTATTATGATGATGTTTTAAATCTTTAAAAGAATCATCTAAAATTAAATTAAATTAAATCTATGGATATTGATAATTAAAATAGATGTAATACTAGATCGAGTAATTTTATAAATGGTTATTTTGCTTCTAATGTATGAAATAAACTCATTATTGAAAATATATATATTTTTTAGTTTTGGTGTATCTAATTGATTGTTTACTAACTTAAACAATTAATTAAACTGTAAATGAGGTTGATAATTAAAATATTTATTTTGATATTGCTATCTGATTAAGACTAATATAATAATGATTTCAATTTTTAAAAAAAGTAAAATAATATTTTAAAAATAAAATTGTGATGGAATAAATTCTTAAAATATTTTGGTGAGGCACAATAATAATATATAGAACGCCAGGTTGTGCGAGGTTATGACGCCGGCAAGGTCGAGGTCAATGCATTTTAAAATCAGGGATCGATCCACAGGCAAACAAAGGAGGGCAAAAAATTGAATAAAGTTTTTACTGTATTACATGTATCAATTTAATATATATATATATATATATATACTTTTAACTAAAAAAACGTATTCACCATATTAATAAAGAATAAAATTCAATACTAGATGTTCTCATTGCTAATAATAAATATTTCATTTTATCATATAAAAATAATAAAAAATTAATGATTAAAATATTGTGAAAAATAAGGATTAAAAAGATACAATGTATAAAATTATTTTCACATTCATTGATACTGAAAGTTTCGGATAGTCAATTGAATAAAATTATTTTTTTTTTATAGGCAAAACAAATCTTATTAAAAAGAGTTCAAGGGGAACTCAAAACCCATATACACAAAAAATTACTTACTCAGAGAAATAAAAAGCAAAAATATACTTATGCAAAATTAAGACAGATGCAATTTCGTGGGTTCAAATACCAATCAGCTAACATAATAGCTTCTCCCTTACTAACAAGTGATAACCATTTCCAAGATCTCAGAATAATAGAATCTAGGACTTCCCTCTCATCCAAAACACCATTGGAAAATATAATTCTATTTTTATGCAACCACAAAGACCACACTGTACTTACCCAAATAATTAATAAGCATATTCCTTCTCTTTTACTACAGCCAACACCAACCCAAGAAAGCAAGTGAGTCGATAAATCTGAAGGCAAAACCAGTGAGAATCCAAGCCAATGCGCAGTAAAGTACCAGATTTGAGATGAAACTGAGCACGTTAAAAATAAATGAGTTGGAAGTTCCTCCAAACCATGACAGAAACAACAAGTTATATCATCAATTTAAACACCACGGTCAATCAATAAACCTTTATAAGGAAGTGCATTCAACAACAATTGCCAAGAAAAAACCAGACACTTAAGAGGGACCTTCCCTCTCCATAGCCTTTGCAAGGCATCTGCCGTACACTGATCTATACTATTAGGACCACCAAAAAGTTCAAATAGCCATGAATACGCAGATTGCACTGAATAACAACCTGAAGAATCTGCCCTCCATACCCATTTATCTTCTTGTAGTAACTTAATAGAAACTCCATCCACAAGCTCCAACAAAAGATTAAAGCTCAAGATCTCATGTTGAAAGAGTCCTCTTCGCCAACTAACATTCCAAACCCATCTAGTGCCATCATGAAAACCATTCTCCAATACACGTGATTCAGCATTTCTCGCCACTACAAATAATCGCTGAAATGCTTCACACAATCGCACCCCTCCTACCCACTTATCTCTCCAAAAAAGAGTGTGTAAACCTGCACCCACACTTCTATCAAACTTCTCATCCAGCCATGAATTCTCTTGATGAATAACCTCCAGCAAATCACGCCACCACAAAGAACATCTGTTGTGAACTGATGAACGCTGAAGAGAAGAAGCTAATCTTCCATATCTAGATTCTAACACCCGCATCCATAATGAACTAGAACAGTTAACACCTCGCCACAACCATTTACCAAGAAGCGCCCAATTAAACCACTGCACATTCCTAATGCCTAAGCCACCATTCTTCCGCGGTCTACGTACAGTTTTCCATTTCACCCAGGGGATTCTAGATCCATCCTTAACACCCTTCCATAAAAAATTACGTTGGATAGTGACAATTTCCTTTATTACCGACTTCGGCACCTTAAAAAAGGATAACGAGTGCAATGGCATAGAATTAAGAACAGCATTAATCAAAGTCACCCTACCTCCAATCGATAAATACCTATGCTTCCATGACGCTAACCGCTTTTTAAGAGCCTCTAACACACCCTTCCATGCACTGGGCTTTCTTGAGTTAACACCTAACTGTAACCCGAGATACTTTAATGAGAAACTACCAATCTTACAATGTAGGAACTCCGCAGCCAAGTTTTCAAAGTCATCACTAGTGTTAATCCCCAATACAAAAGATTTATGGAAGTTAATTTTCATACCTGACATTAATTCAAAGCTACGCAATACTGCTTTCAAAGTCCACAAATTCTGCACCGAAGCCTCTCGCATAATC